TTTTAAAAAATATGATCCCCATATTTTTGTTTTCTCAGATTTCGTACCCCAAAATGTTGCACAAATCGGTGGATATGATATGCATATATTTGATTCGAATCATGGCTTTGTTTTTAGAAATTTAGCAGCTTCATTTTTCTAAATCGATATGGTTTCTCCCTAAATAAATATATAAATTTATTTTAATTGGTAAGTAATAATAGATCTTTAATTACTTTACCAAACCAAAGTTATCCCTTTTATATCTGAAACAACTCCTATTATAATCGGATTCATAATAATATGTTCAAATGTCAAATGTGCCTTCTGATAAAATCTTCTTTGAATGCATCTTCATTTTCCTACATTACATTCTAAACCTAATATACAGTATAAATATAAACTGGTTAATAATTGTATATATATAATATACTACCAACAATTTAAAATATTAATTACGTTTTACGCCAAATAAAAATATAGATTTCGTATCATCTGTTTTTCAATATTGGGAAACCAATGTCAACTTAGAAAACCCCCACAGTAAAGCCATTGATATAATCGTATTTTCAAACAAAATTTTGAATACAGAAATTGTTGGCCGAAGTTCATTTGATTGCAAACTGTAGATTTCAATTTTAGTAATGTCTTTTTTTGCAGCAGAAGAAAGTGCCAAGTAAGTATTGCGAGTATCACCGGAACAGAGCTGTTCCACCGTTGCTCGTTTTTGGTATAAAGATGCAATGTAGTCATTAGTGCAGACATCGAAAGCATAATTAAAACTATCTAGAGGTTTAATTAAATTTCCTAACAAAATAAGGCATTATAAAATATAGGGTTCCAAGATTTCAGGGTTGATCTGCTCGCATATTTTTGATGCCGTTGTAAATTCTTATTTATTATTAATTGAAATCTCGCAACTCTATAAAATGAATGAATGAATAAAATTAAAAATATCAAAATACTTTTATAAAATCCCAGATTGGACTTATATTGTCGCCTTAAATGCATATCAAGATTTACATTTTCTTCTAAATTTTTATATGAGTAATAACCAATGTAACAATAGAACCGTATTTTTTCTTGATAATAAATTAAAAGAAATCATGCATGCATCTGCAGAATTAATAAGCATTTTGGCTTAACAAATCAGAAATGCTTTCATCGCTACCGTGATTGCTTCCACGGCCACCTCCACCGCTTCCGTTATTACGTCTAACAACGAGGTGATTGCATCTCCAGCAAATTACTTTCATCGCTTCCATGGTTTCTTCTGCAAACATTTCACCACTTCCTTGAGATTGTTTCTGCAACCATATTTGCTTCAACAAAATTCTTATTGACTTTGTAAAGGATAAGCCAAAAAAGAGTATGTCTAATCATTGGTTAGAAAAACTATCATATAATGTATTGATTCTTTACCTGACGATTTTTTTATCATATTCGTTCCATCTTTCAACATTTTTTTAATTTACCAACCTCATTGACGTTATTTTTTATCGAGATCAAATTTTGGAACTATTTTCCTAAATTATTACCTCGTTGATTATGGTCGTTAAAATTTAGTATGGAAGTTATTATTGGATAATAGTAATACTAAATACAGTCAAACTTCATTTCGGCGAATCTTGTTTCAACGAATTATATGGTGCGCGAAGTCTATAACCATCATTTACTGCGCCACATCAACAAATTCATGTGATTTTTAAAATATCTTAATTTGATTTATTATCAATTTTAATTAATTATCAACAACATTACTTGGAATTTTTCTATGCAATTTGTAGCTATTTATTGCATATAAAGCTTCTAGACCTGTCAACCCATTTCTATAAGCATACATAATCTCCAAGACCTGTGAGCAAACTTCTGAATGTTTTTGAATTTAATGCCAATAGAACAGTTTTTTCTAATGACTTAAAGGTATAATCACAGTTTTTACGGGTATATTATTTTGCTGCACCCCAAATAATTCAATAAAATTAAGTTCACAGTGGAACTCGGGGTAAAAAATGACTTCATGACCATAAGATTCAATAGTTTCTTCAATTAAAGATTTTTGATTAACAGCTACACTATACCAAATTTAGAAATGATAATTGTAGACTATCCAAATGTGTTATTGCCAAATCAGGAATAGAACTCGATAACCTATCAATATTTTGAAGTTTGAGTAGTTATTTTTTAAAAATGATCGACAGGAATGGATTAATATAATTAAATTTGCGTTATATACAACGAAATTTTAATTTTTTTGCTTCACATATAAAAACATTTGAAACGAGATTAGTAATTTTGGTATCGACGTTATTTATTTTTTGTTCGATATTATTTATTATTCTAAGGATAGAGTGTAGTCATGTGATGATCAACAGGTCCAAGCTATGCAAGAAACACTTTTCTGGATAGTTAACTATACATCATTAAAGGACGTGGCTAGCACATGATAATTCTAATTTAGAAACATTGAATGAACATGCTAATCTAACAACTATTGAATTTTCATACAGTTGAAGAATGTATAGTAGATATCAATAACCAAACTTACATTCCTATTCGTCCTGAATATTTTATCATTACTTTAATTGGACTAGCAATGCTGAAAATAAGGTTTGCGATTCGTGATAGATGGAGCACACTGTATAATGTCTTGTGAATATTTCAGGCAATATAATCATGAAATATAATATTTGAATACAATTTAATTTATATGTATTTTTTGGAAAATCTTGGACAACTATTTCCTGATCCACAAACTATGTTGCTTTTAGCAATATGTTCATCTCAATACGTCCTTAATATTAATATTTGTAAATTCCTAAAGAAAATCTAAAATTTTTGAAATAAAAAATTTTGCTCAAAATTTAGGATCGGCATAGGTAGATGATCGCCCATAGTAGATAAATTTTCAATGAACAAAATTGCGAAATTCAATGACTTAAATGATAGATTGACGGAGAAACTCTGATATGTGTATGAAAACAGCTTAATTCTTCTACTTCATTACTATGAAATTCAAATTAATATAATAATAATTTGTTAATAATAAACATTGTAAATCGATCAAAACCATATAAAATATAAATTATATTAAATCTCATTCTTACATTCATGAAATCTAGGGTTTGTATACCAGATAATATCATGGGGTCATGACACCTGACAACACTGGATCAAGCCTTACAAGGTTTTGGTATTGATGTATTGAACATGGTATCCTTTTTTAATGGATTTATATACTTACATTAATCCTTTCACACATAGATGGATGCAAATGTTAAATTTCAGACAAATACCAACAGAAAATTATTTGATTGTTGCCCTATTGTGGGATTGTTGAAGGAGGATTCCCAATATATGTAATTATTGTAGTTGTGTGCTTTAATTTTGTACAATTTCAAATGAGACAATGATATTGCACTTCATGCACTGAAAACTTACATCTGAAGATTAAGGTCGTGGGCGAAACTCCTCCAGAAATCAATTGACAGGGTTTCGACAGGTTACACATTAATTGTTTATTTGAGTTTCGGCAGAGTTTCGCATTTGGGGGTTTTGTCGATCGTCAGAGTTTTGACAAGGTATATACTAATTGTTCATTAGGGTTTCGACAGAGTTTCGACAAGTCACTAAGAGGTTTCGGCAAGCAACCTTACTGAAGATGGATGTTAATTGAAAATTTGATGATATTGAGAAACCATAATTATTGCCATAATCACTTTTCCTCCAAAAAAAATTATGGCAAACAACTATAATGATGATATAACAGTAGTTTTTACCTGGTAGTATAAGGCCATGAATTAATGGTTTGGGGCCATACATTTCCCTGTCACATTGTTTTTTGTATCTTAGCAAAATTTCACAGCAGACTATACTTCATAATGGATTTTTAAAATTTTGTTTCACATAAATAAAATTTTCTTATATGTCCCCCGTTCATCTGCTGCGACAAGGTTTGACTGTAGATAAAATAAAAATAAAGTGAATCATTTGTCCCAGGGATCAAAAATCAACAATAATATACGAACAATCTTACGGTCCAACAGAATTTGATATGAAGCATCATTCATTATCTAGAAGACATAACTAAACTGGTACGAAATAGCATAGATGATATAGATTACCATTTTGTTCAATATAGCAATTCTTCCAATAATGACTGCTAAAAAATTAAAAGCAAGCATCCGTGGATACGGTAAGTATCTTTTTATAAAAATAGTTTGCTTTAACAAGACACATCTAATCTTTCTACCTCTCAGATCTTGTTAGGCCAAACCTATATATAGAATATATTCAAAAATTCCCAACTTCATATACAGACCGATGGTTGCTCGTAAAAATTACAAATATTCGCTTGTATTCGGAGATATTTCCTTTTTAAACATACAAAACATCTTTATTTTACTATTACTTATTATTGCTAGTTTTATTTATTATTATAGACAGAACGAAAATCTGTCGAGGCAAAAAATGCGCGAAGAGGATGTATGGTACTGATTGCGTATCCAATTAGATACCAATTCCAGAAAAAAAGATCAAGATGCCTGCAACAAAATATAGTTTTTATATTTTCACTTTGTAAATGTATTATAAGGTTAATATTGATAAAGTTTTAGAGAGAAAATAAACACTGTTTGGAATGATATTTATAAAAAGTTGAAGCTGATGAACATGATGAATATATAAAGTCTAAACCGTCAAGCAAAAAGCATAAAGAAAAATTCGAGACTGATGAACAAGAAGAACATATAAAGTCTAAATCGTCAAGTGAAAAAGGCAAAGAAAAATCCGAACTTGATGGACAAGACCTGGAACTGATGGCCGAAATTAATAGTCAAGGGGAAACTGAAACTGATGATCAAGGTGAACCGTTGAAACGCGCTTTAAAAAGTCGAAAACTCAAAGTTGAACAGGCTAAAATTGACAAAAGTAAGTTATTATGATCAAGCATGCCAATGGACTTTTGGAGCCAAAAGAAGACATAACGATAGGTAAAGTAGTAAAAATAAACAATTAACATTTATGCTGTTAGAATTATAAGCGTTAATATAGAAAGTTTACAAATTAAATATTATAAAGGTAGTTGATTATGATAATAATCATCCCAAATGATTTCATTATAGTTTTTTTTGTTGGAATTATTATCATAGAAGCATCCTTAAACTTTTTAAGAAAATAAGTTCTATTTTTGAATGCTTTGGAAGTTCAGCAGCTAAATCTGTTCCACATAATTGCCTATTTTTTTTTGACTCGCCGGAGCCAATGAACTTGAGTAACATGGTGTTGTCAAGTTTGATGGCTCAATGCATTATGAATGTGCTAAAAAAAAGTCATTTGATGCTTACAACTGTTGCAACAGATAGTAGTACTGTTCAATATTATGAACATGATGAATCTGTCGATATCTGGTCATTTGGAATAGTAAATTATATGCTGTCAAAAAAAATATCCATGGAATTTTAATGATCATGTAAAAGTTGAAGAAGGGGAAGAAAAACAAATTGATCACATTAAGTTTTATGACAATATCATTGAAGCCACCCTGGATTTGTCTACATTTAAATTGATTTGGAGGGAAAGATGTCGATGAAATTTAAGTTGTCACAGATTTCATTCTTAAATTGTGGAGGCCTTACAGCATGCTTCGTTAATTGATACTGAGAAAAAATAAATAATAAACAGATGGATAGATAGATAATTTCTTTTCATCATAATGTTTGTAATTAAATCTTCAAAAAATACAACCGATCCTTACATATGTATAATTAATATCAACAACTATAATAATTATAATACAAAAAAACAAAAAAAAAGTAAAATAAATTCAATAATTAAAGAATAAAAAATTAATAAATTAAAGTATATATATATATATTACATATTAAATATTACATTGGTAAATTTTACATAATTAAACACATACAATACTAATACAAATGTTTGCTAATTGGTTGCGATAGAATATAAAAGTTCATTATAATAATAATAATTTAAAAATGATTTAATTCCAAATCAACCTTCTTTACACACACACACACACACACACACACACACATCCCACCACAACCTTCTCTATCCAATTCATCATCAACCCATAAGCCATTTCATTCTTAATTGTTCGATCCATCTAACATATATCATTTCAATGATAGGCGGAGCTTTGGGTGATTCGTCTTCTATTGACGATGAAGACGAAGAGGGCGGCGTAGTTGATAATGGCAGCGTTTGTTTTTTTGGTTTAATAGTAGAGTTTGATATTGAATCGTCGTCACTTAATGAGCCTGATTTATTTGGTGATTGTGACGATACTGTAGTTTTTAAAAACGCTTCTGATATTACACCTAAATCCGATAATTTTTCACAAATTTCAGCATTCCTAAAAAATTTTTATAATGTTTTTTGAAAATATTAGAATTACATTTTTGATTTTTCTCAATTAACATCGATAACAATAATTACATTTTTAGTCGTTTCAGTATTTCTACCAAAATTGTTATGATTAAATCAGGGCTTGAATGATCCAATTCATCAATTCCTTTTTCAAACATGCTAAGTGCTTCCAATTCTGTTGCTTTCAATTCATTATTTTTAATCTTTTATTTTAAAAAACATTGTTATTAAGATTATTATTGTCCAAAATACACACAAATAAATTTTTTTTATTTTACCTTTTCAATAGCCGGGAGAATGATATCTTTTACTAAATTTCTACCGGCAATTCCTTCTTCAGTAACTGGTTCCTTAACCTCGATGTTTCTTGAATATCTTGAGAGCGACGAAGTAGATGCTGATGATGATGCAACGCTTAATCGATTATTTTTTGATGATGATTTTAAAGCGTCAATTCTATTTATTTATATTGTTAATAAATATAAACACTAATATGGAAATAATGACAATAATAAATAGATATATGTATATAAATTTAATTTACCCCTTAATGCTTTCATCAAAAGAATCGATTATAATATTTGTGGTTTTATTTTCAATTATAGAGTGTCTTTTGTTTGATAACATTGTCAAATTTGCCTGTTTCTAGTTAATTGAAACATATATGTGTGTAAAAATATAAATAAATGTAAATAAAAATATTGTGTATGCATTGACGGATATAAATAATAATAATAATAAAATGATTTAAATACCAAAAAATCCGATAATTTTACTGTGGAATACCCTGATGAGATAGACGACTATTTAAATAAAAGCAAAGAATAAGGACAATTAGTATTAAATCCATTCTCTTAAAATGATTAAAAAATCCGCAATCATTCAACCCGCCAAGCAATAAATAAATAGAATAATGTATTTATTTACATTTTCATTTATGTTAATATTTGCAATCGGTTGTTCAACGTTTCTTGGTATATTAGATGAATTATCAGCATTAGAATCAGCCAAAGCTGCTGACGAAGAAGATGATTGTTGTGGTGGTAGCGATGGAGGTATCGGAAAAGAAAAATCGTTATTGACAATACCAAGACTAGTAACGATACTGCCCTCATTATTACCATGATTGATATTGATAATGTTGTTGTTGTTGTTACTACCACTACCACCAGCATTACCATTACTATTAGAAAGTTCTTCCAATCTCTCTAAAGTTTTAGAATCTAATTTAATTGTACCATCCATATGTGCTCTCTTTACAGTTTCAAAGTCCCAACAGCCCTCAATTAATGACTTGTCATTTTTAATTGTTCTTTTATATATATTTATGAAAAATAATAAGTAAATAACTATTAGTTGACATATCGTTATATGAATTATATATTATTATTATAATAATAAAGATTGATTGATGGATAGATACTTACAAAGTTTTTTCAAACATTGATAAAACTCTTTGTGTTCCATCACGCTTTATGCTTCGCTCAATAAGTTCTTGTAATTGTATTGTATTACGGGCGGATTTGATAAATTTGTGTCTTAATAATTCTTTTGCTGTTGGACGCTGTGATTTTATTTTGATATGAATGAATGAATTAATTAATAAATAAACAGGTTTTAAATTAATCAACCAGAAAAACGATAAAAATCAAAATTATTGATCCGATACTTACATGGTCAGGATTTTTTATTAAACACAAAGAAATGAAATCTTTAAATGCATTAGAGAAATTACCATCCAATACAGGAGGTTTTGCTTTTGGTATAAGAAATAGAACTCTCATTGGATGGTATTCAGCCAATGGTGGTTCGCCTTTTGCTAATTCGATAGCAGTAATTCCGAGTGACCAGATATCTGCCTAATTATATTATTTCAAGATTATTATTATTGTTGTTGTTGTTGTTGTTGTTTTTAGTGGCATTTATTTTATATTTTATATTTATATTAATTTGTCTGTTAATACAAAGAAAAAAGAAATTTAAATCTTACTTTGTGATCATAGCCTGCTTGTCTAATAACTTCAGGTGCCATCCAAAACTATTTTAAAAAATTTTTTTGGAGGGAAATATTCATTAAAAAAAAGAAAAGGAGTATTAATAAATAATAAGAATAATTATTAAAAATGTTACCGGTGTTCCAACAAAAGTATTTCTTTTACTTTTATTGTTAGAAAGTTGTGCAGCTACACCAAAATCCGCTAAAGTAAATTTTTTTATATAATTTTTTAATTAGAAAAAAATCAATTCATACTAATTATCATTTTGCTAAAAATCATGTATTAATAGATAGATTTTTAATAAAATTACCTAGTTTAACTTTTCCTTCAGCTGATAATAAAACATTAGCAGCTAAAAAAATATTTATTAAAAAAAAAAATATCAATTAATCAATACAATCAAAATATTTATGAAAACAGTCAACTAATTATCAATTAATACCTTTAATGTCTCGGTGAATCTTTCCTTCGATATGTAAATACTCCAAGCCATATAAAAGTTCTCGTAATACAATAGCAATTTGATGTTCTTCAAATGGACCTGGTTTAAGCTAAAAAAAAATGTATATGAATTAGTTCCACATATATGAGTAAATAATTATCATCATGAATGAATGATTGTGTTTTCTCACCAAATCTAAACACGATCCACCTGAAAGGTATTCCATAACTAATAATAATAACAACAACAACAATAATAGATGTAAATATATATATATTTCATTAAATCAAATTAAAATAATTAGTAATAATTACCAATCCATAATTTAAAGCCTTTTATAAAAGATCCGTAATATCGGGTAATGAATGGTGAATCACATTGTGACAATAATGCTATTTCTTGTTGTATTTCACTTATATCATCCTCTGAACTTTCTAAATCAATTATCTTTATTGCAACAACTTCATTTGTTTCTTTATGGATGCTTTTTATTTAAAAAAAAGTGTTATTTTACAACTAGTTATTTCTTTTTATTTTAGGTGGGAGATATTATATATACACTTACGCCTTAAATACTGTTCCAAAGGAACCAGTACCAAGTCTTTCAAGTAAAGTATAAGAATCCAAATCAAGTTTTGTCTTTATTATTGTTTTCGAAAAAAAAGAAAAAGATTATTTATTTCAATAATTTGGAATTTTCAAGAATTTCAAAAAAAATTATTGCATTGCTCACCATAATTACTGGATTCTAATTATTGAAATTAAATTAAATTAATTAAAGGAGTTGTTATTTTTATATAATAAAAAAAAAAATAATTTTATTGTATTATTATTATTATTGTTGTTGATATTTATTATTTGATGAAAATCAAAAAAAATTAAAATCAGCGAAAAAAATAAAATTTTAAAAAAATTTCTTTTTTAAAACCTTTTATAAATTTTCATTTTCCAAAAATAAAATTTTTTCAAAATAAAAAATCTTGTATCATCAACACTACTACTAATCAACCACTAACCCATTCGTTCATTCATTCTTAATTCCCTATTCTATCACGTTTCCTATTTCAATTCTGCGATTCCTCCTTTTTTCAAATAATAATAAAGAAAGAATAAATATTTTCTTTGGTAACACTAGTATTTTTCTTCCGAGTCTTGGGATCAACAAATTTATTAATAAACATTTAAGGGATTTTAATATTAAATAAATAATCAAGCTATGTCATATTCCAACTAAAGAAATAGAATGTAAATCGAATGCATTGTCTAATTCCTTAATTGGACAGAATATATAAAAAAAGGAATAATCAACGACATGGTAAATAAAACGGGCGAGTATTAATATGAACGTATATATATATGCTTGTATGATTTTTTTCCTTTTTGATGAAATCGGGAGAATTTAAGGAGTAAGATTTTGAATAAGTCTTGATTTAGTAATGTTGGGAATGAGGAGTTTAACATGTATATATAAATCAGGTGAGAAATCAATATCTTGTATGATTGAATATTTAAAAGTGAAAAATATTCCATTTACTTTATATAAATTATTGATTCAACCATTTTATATTTTCGTTCTCATAATTAGTAAATGATCTAAATTCATTTGCCAATCCACTTTTATGTTTTGGATAAAAATTCGTCATTTTGACATTCATCATTCTGTTCAATAAATCACTCATGACAGCTCCTAACAATTAAATACAAATCAATATTGTTTCTAGAAAAATTATTCAAACCATCACAAATAATTCATAATAATAGTTACCAGTACAAATCAATAATTTAAAGCCATCTTCAACATTATTATTACTATTATTCTTCTTTTTCTTACCTATCCATTTAGCAGTCATCATTGTTTTAGTAAGACAATCTTCATTTAAAAATGGTGGATCGGCTAATATAAAATCAAACGAATCTTTGAATTCTTGAGATTTTTGAAATTTCATTGGTGAATTAAAATCGTAATCAATGAAATATTTTCCATAAATATCAAATCTTCTATCATACTCAAATAAATATATTTCTTGTTTCAATGATGAATATTTTGACTATATATATTAAATAAAAGAAGCAGAGTGTAAGAAAAAGAAAATAAATATTTTAAAATGAATTAATATGTATGATTAAAATCAAATATTAAAATAAATCATACTCAACTTTTAATTTAACAAATACAGTTGGTGTACTAATACATGCTATTCTGCTTTTTGTTGTTGTATTATTTATAATCTCTTGTATTATCATGTCTGTTGTTTCTTCATTATACTTTTAACAACAATAATAATTAATTATATATGCTATATATATATATATATCTACACATTATCCATTATATATCACTTACCCAGAATTGACTCAACTTTTTAATGTAAATTATTAAATATTAGGAAACAAACCAGGAAAAATATTATATTAATAAAGAAATGCTCAATAAAAAAAAAATAAAAACCTGCCAATCTTCTTTAAAATATTCCATATTAATCATACTTAATTCATCCTTTTTTCCTTCATCATCCCCCTCTCCCACTCCCTCCCCATTGTCATTCAATAAATATGATGATGCTTTTTGCCTTAATTGATCAAGTTTTTGTTGTTGTCCTTGTTGTTCAGCAAGGAATTCATTCAAAGCTGATAACGCTGTTGACGATAACCTATAATATATATATTAAATATATTAAATATATAAATATCATCATTATTATAAAAGCAAAAATAATAGAGTACGTTAAATTTTCATCATCGTATTTGTTTTCTTCTGACATGATAATAATAATTGCAAGGATTAAATTTTTGATATAAAAAAAAGGAATACTATTTCGGGAGTATATGTAACACGATATGTTAATCACTCGAAAAAAGCCTAGATAAATACGATAAAATATTTTTCTTTGAAGCAAATGATTGAATTCCTTGACGAAGCTAAGTGCAACTACAGAATCTTTTCCTAACTACCTTTTTATGACTTTCGAACTTCCGTTTCACATATTGTTTTATGAAAATAGTCCAGTGATATTCTTCTTGCGTGAGATGAAAGCTTGTAACTATACAATTGGGAAAGGTAAATAGGTAAATTATCTGTCCATCTTTTTTGCTTGATACTTCTAGCAAGATAAATGATAATTGCTACATTTAAAGTTGTAACTGCCAATCATATCCAAATAGATTCACCGTAAAAAAATTCGGTGTTGAAGGAAGACTGATCTTCACTTAATTGAAATTAATAATATACTGTATATTTATATTTATAAGATTAGCCTATATTATATTTTTGTTTTTTTTTGGTCCGTCATTAGTAAACAAAACAACATAGGTTTATTGTTTAATATAGAAAACTGCAGTTCAAGCGTCAGTTTAACTGGAGTTTAAAAGTTTATTTACAATTTTTAGGATCAATGAAATTTATTTATTAGAATGTTAATGTGCCTTTTTCAAGCGAAGACCAGAAGTTATCTGTGTTGGTTAAAAATATTCCTTCCTCTTCGACGTATATAGATCAATTGTAGTCAAATTTACCTACTAATTAAGGTTCTTATTCAATTATTTATAGGAAGTTTATGATTTAAACCCGTTTTTTTAGATAGTTTCATTATTTATTATCGACCCCAATACGGCGCAGATCATCTAATTGCTTATAATAAATAGCTTCAAAATACTATATAGCATTTCGAATATTCCAATTTTTATTATTTATATATTATTTATATATACTAAATTTCGTGTAACATGGCTTTTTCCAAAATCCCGAGACAAAAATTTTTTTTTACATGACTCCTTTTTTAAATGGCGGTGTTTTTTAATGATCCGCACTGTATAAATATATTGTTGTTTATATTATTTATCATTTTTCATTTATGAAAATTCTATTTGATGTTCATGCAGGAAATTTGCCTGCGATGCGGTAATAAATATCATTATGATTCAAAATAATAAAGATTCATTTAGAATGAATGATATTTTATTTATTTTTATTTTTTCCCCATGAAAGTCAAGGAATAAAAAAAATCAAAAAATATACAATAATATATGTATATATATATATATATATATAATAATGTCATGTATGTATATATCTATAAAATGAATAAATAGTATTGAAAAATAAAGGGTCATTACAATGCAGGTATAAAACTAGTCTAGTTATATTAATAATAATACAAATGTATAGGTATAAGACTAGATTAGATTTTTCTAATCATTGACGCATTTTCTTATTGAAACTTGAAGTTTTTGATTCTATGGTCAAATTATTTTTATATTTATTATTATCATTTTGATGGTCTCCGTGCTTTATCACGAGTCAGTATATTGTGATCATTCTTATGTTTAAAAATCATATTCACTTCATCTATAGGTATTCTTCCTGTTTTAGAAATGAGCCATTCCAGCATCACCTTTATGTGTGCGTATATACGCCATTTTCTTTTTCGGTTGCACTCAAATATAGATTCTAAATTGATTAATCCCAAAACTTTCTCTTCCCATCGAACTTCTTATCTCTCCTTTGGGGCTTTCAATAATAATTAAATTATTTTTTTGATTTGCTTTATCTTTCCAAGCAAGCATCGCTAATATCCACATATTTCTGTCTTTTGGAACGAAAGAATGTATAATGCCAAAATCGTGATAAATGATTTTTCCATCGATTTTTATTTTGATCACTATTCCAATTCCTGTGATCAACATCCACCGCTTTAACAACATGCATCGTTTTAATAATGACAATCTACGGGGGAAAATAAGCTTCTTTAACAGAAGGCTCAAACTTTTAAATTTAAAATAATAAGGCTAGACCATACCTTTGCATATATTACAGAGGGTGATCACGGGTTTCCGAACGATAAGTATTTTTTATTTTTTTTACTTTGTTTACATCATTTACGCGTGAAATTCTAATTTAAGCATTTATTTATAAATTAGTTCCTCGCAAACAAGGAATTTTTCAAGAGGATAATGCTCCACCT